CTCATTTGTGTGGTTTATCACCGACAGGGGACTCCAGGCACCCTTATCACTTCAGTGAGATGAAATGGGTATAGTGCTTAGAAGAAGAACCTTGCGTTCCCACACACTGGCACGGAATTTAAAGGGACACTGTAGCCACTATAACTATTTGATCTCATTGAATTGGTCCCTCCATTGTTGTTATTATTTATATAGCGCCAGCAAGTTCCATAGCGCTGCACAATGGGTGGACTAACAGACATGTATTTGTAACCAGATGTTGGACACACAGGAACTGAATGAGCTTACATGTTAGAGCAATCATGTTAAACTCAAAGCCTAGTACGGGCCACATAACAAGGTTTAAGTTTATGTTGGACGCAAAAAAAGAAAAACTTTTCAATTTCCACAGAAACTTAGCTTTGTTTTGAAAAGTACAGTAAAAAAAAAAGGCATCCCCCTCCACTAAACCTCAGTCCCCCCCCCCCTCTATACTAAATCCATGCACCCCTCTCTACTAAACCCTGGTCCTTGTTTAAAAAAAGTACAGTATAAAAAAACAAAAAACAGCACCCCCCTCCACTAAACTTCAGTCCCCCCCCTCTATACTAAATCTTAGTTCCCCTCTCTCTCTATTAAATCCTAGTCCTCCCCCGTCTACTAAATCCCATAACCCCCCTCTACTAAACCCTGGCCCTTCTTTTAAAAAAACTAACTATTCGCCAACAAGCAGACTCCACTCATGTTCCCGCTGCCAGTATGCGACTCTGGAGTCCAGCCTGTGGTATACCCCCAATAGCGCCGTCCCCAACACTGACCGACACACACAAACACACACTCTGACAGACACACATTCTGGCACGCACATACTCTTACAGACACTCACACTCACACACACTCTGACAGACACACACACATTTCCACATTCTTGCACACACTAACATTTGATTTATTGCTCTCTACCTTTGGGAGCTGGTGTGGGGCCTCTTCTCGCGGGAGCTCAGTCTTCCTGCTCCCTGACGTCATATTCCGGCACCCGGCATCACTACATAGGGCGCGTGCGGGGGAGCAGTGAGGAGCAGGAAGACTGAGCTCCCTTTGCTCCCCCACTCCCCCAGGGACCTCTCCTCCGGTCAGTACTGGGTAAATTTTAGCAGAGTAGGCACCTGCATTGTAAGGAGAGCAGGTGCCTACTCTGTCTTAGTAATCATGGCAAACCCACGGCTCGCGGGCCGCAAATATATTCACTGTGGGCCGCGAGTTTGACATGCTTGTGCTAGAGGATTCAGTGTTAAACCATTTTTGAGCAGAGATTATACACTTGGTTGTAGTCGTACCAATTCATACCAGTAATGGGCTCTGTGATGGGCTGAAAGTAGTCAGCTGACACTCTCGGCCAAATAAAACTCCCTATTGCTGCTCAGGCTCACGCTTCCTCATTGACCCAAGCACAGAGGGGATGGGCTTCTGGGAACTCTTATTAGGACATTAAACCATTTTTATTATCGAATGGAAGGACAGCACCAGGGAACTCCAAATACTATAACCACTTCAGTGAGATGACGTAGTTATGGTGCATACAGTGTCCTTTTAAATGCAGCCTTGTGCCTACATATACATTCACAATGATACTAGATGCAGACAGAACGGCTGAAGGTGTTTCATACTTGCTAATTAGCAATTCCATGTGATTTAAGGTATTTTAGTATTTGTGGACAGTAGGAAGGACAGGTGTGTGTGTGTGTGTGTGTGTGTGTTGTGCTCCATTCATTGTACACACAGGGGATGGAGGTGGGAGATCATGAAAGGTGAGTGAATAATTATATACCAAATCTCCTGCTAATGGCGATCAGTAATATAAAATGTTATACATTTATTTCATTTACTGAAATACATCACGTGACTAAACGGCCCAAACTGTGCATCTAGATCAAACAGTAATTTTGTGTTTCCAGATTGCTATAAATCTGCACAATATAAAAGAGGGACTCCTAGTAACACAGGCTGTTTACACTGAATATGCATTACGTGAACATTTAATTAAGCTCACACTTTACAGCCATCAGAGATGGCTCTGGTCTTTCAAATGAATACAAAACAAGGGGGACGGGACAGCGCTAACGAACTAACCAAATAGGAGTATGGGAGGCGGAAAGCCTGAAAGTAAAGGTATCCCTCTAATCTTTAGATTAAAAGGTAATATTAAAAACAGAACAATGATATCGACCACATAAACATAGACATTAAGAAGTCCAATAAAATACCAATGGCTATGAAATAGTCCTAAAGTAACAATGCTGCTTCAAATTTTTGAATGAAATCCTTGAGACCGTTCCAATCAGTAGCAGTATATGTAAAAAATAAAAATAAAAAGAGGTAGAGGGAACCAATAGTGCATATGGCAAACAAGATGGACTACAGACAACACTGAGGTATAAAAATGGCAACTCACAAATAACAGAGCTATGACCAGCTCTAGGTAAAACAGCATGCAATGGTATAAAAATCTCCCACTTGCAGGATATTTCTCTGATGGTGGTTTCACAGATGGGTAGTGGTGGCATAGATTAAACGAAAAAAAAAAAAAAGAAGCCAATAGTGTTCTCCGTACAGGTAAGCATAAATAGTAATAAGAAAAATACTAACAATAAAAAGAGCAGTCTAACCGCTCTGTGTCAAGCGTGGGTGGAATAATTCCCACCTTGGATTTTTTTTGCTGGTGCTTCAGACAATAAAAATCCATGCCAGGAAATAAAATAGTAAAATGTATATAGGCTAGCCACAAATAATACAATGGCCAAATATTACTTTTATTAAAAAGTAAACAATAAAACCACCACTCGTTTCACCCTTTAGGGCTCATCAAGTATCCGTTTTATTCCATTTGATAAAGCCCTAAAGGGTGAAACGAGTTGTGGTTTTATATTTGCCATATTGCACTATTGGTTCCCTCTCCCTTTGTCGTCTGCTTTTTTTTTTTTTTTTTTTACAGATACTGCTACTGATTGGAACGGTCTCAAGGATTTTATTCGAAAATTTGAAGCAGCATTGTTACTTTAGGACTATTTCATAGCCATTGGTATTTTATTGGACTTCTAATTGTCTGTTTATGTGGTCGATATCATTGTTCTGTTTTTTCATACTGCATTTTAATTTTTCTTCTGAAGTAACTACTAGCATTTCATACTTGATATCTTTACTTTGGCACAACCTGTATCTTTTGTTCTGTTATTTAAAACGAATGTCTGTCGAACTTGGAGTAACCTCTTCCTCACTTTATCACAAATGGTTTTCTTGTATTTCCCTCTATATATAAATGAAAGATAGAAATGCATAGTGTTTTCTACTGGTAGAACCTGTAATTTAGAGCAAGATGGCCTGACTCTAGATAGTATGACTACTTATCTTCCATTCTGGAAAGACAATTCATCCACACATCCTTGAAGGAACTCCCAGTAGACCCAATGGTATTTCCAAATGTGACGTAAACCACGACACATACTGTAAGGAAAGCTTTTTTTAATAACTGAATAACATTTGCATTATTTTATCTAATCATTACAGCTCATTAATGTTTTTTTTTTGTGGGTGGGGGTTTGGTGCAAGGTGTCCTAGAGGAGAAGACTTTCCTATTTTTGTCAAACAGTTTGAAATAGTTTACTGAAAACTGCAGAATTTACCAGGACAGTCCACCCAATCAGGTTAGGATGTTTCTCTTTCTCTTTATGTTTCCAAAATGTTTCTATGGATAAGTAGGTTTCAGTCGTGTTAAATGGCCTCTTACACTTTCACCACTGCTGAACTGACACTGTAGAGACATCAAAGGAGTTGCCGGTTTTACGGCAACATCCTGCTTTCCAACACAAATATTTTGGAAAAATACCAAGGAAGAGAAACGTCCTCATCACTGTGTTCCAAGCAGATTGTGTGGACTTTGGCTGCTTGGAATCCTCAAGGGTTTTTGTTTCAAACTACTTTAAATTGCTTTCGTAGCCTAATTGCACCAAAACCACAACAGTAAGTATGGAGTGTCCCTTTAATTCAAGGATCCAGCATTCTTTGATCTTTTAATATTCGTAATATCAGGGAATCACCATGTCTCTGTGTTCCGTTGGTGGAGATCCTACATGTACGTTCCTTCTACGTTAGTAGGCTGACCTGCAAACAGCAGCATTCATTTAAGAGGGGTCTTTTTATCTTGGTGTAATGCGTTAGATAGAGTAACATGACTTATAATAAGTGTGTCCACAAACCTTGAAAAGCAGCTTTTATTAATCTAGTCAATAAAGACCTGGTATGTTATTAACATGGAAGCCTTATAAAATTAAGGGAAGAAGCAGGATCGTACCTCACACATTTTAACTGAGACCGAGTATGTACTGACACACCTTTCCATAGATAAATCATACACTAAAACAAATACAAGTTTTGAGGCCACTCATAGATAGATATGATGGCATTATGACCAAACTCCTCTTCCATCGAGTCACAGACAAGACGACTCAAAGGTTCTACATTCTTCATTCAGTTTTCTTATTATTAAAGGACCACTATAGGCACCCAGCCCACTTCAGCGTAAAGAAGTGGTCTGGGTGCCTGGTCCAGCTAGGGTTAATTTAGAGAAACAGCTATGTTTACTTTAGGGTTAATCCAGCCTCTAGTGGCTGCCTCACTGACAGCCACTAGAGGGATTCCGCACTTCTCACTGTGAAAATCACAGTGAGAAGACGCCAGTGTCCATAGGAAAGCAGTGTGAATGCTTTCCTATGGACTGGCCGAATGCATGTGTGGCTCCTGCCGCGCATGCACATTCAGCTGAAGAGGAGGAGGAGAGTTCCCCCGCCCGGCGCTGGAGAAAGAGGTAAGAGCCCGACAGGAGCGGGACCCTGAGGGCGGGGGCACCCTCAGGGCACTATAGTGCCAGGAAAATGAGTATGTTTTCCTGGCACTATAGTGGTCCTTTAAACACACGTGTGTATGTGTATATGAAACAAATCTTGTATGTATATCCTTGTCAGACCAGGTTACCAGTAAGTGTCACTAGCCAAAACACATAACAATATATCCACCTACCCTAACAACATGACAGTAATAGTCATGTTGGCTTGTATGTCACCAAGATTTACAAGGTTTGCATCGGATGCTAGGGAACAAGGGCAATCTGACGACAAGTGGGCTACTAGAACAAACCTTTCATGGACATGGAGTAAGGACCTAGATCTGTTTGAATGCTTCTGTAACCTCCGATCCAAAGAGATGAGCTATATTAAACATATGTGGGAACTATGGATAAATAAAATATAATCTACACTAAAACCAAAACTGACAGTTTCACAATGTTTTGACACATTTAAGAGGAAACTAATGTCTCAACAGGAATTAGACTTTCTACACAAAAGAACATGAATGAGCCATGTGGAGAAAGATGCTCCCATACGCACACACCTACATCTACAGTGGTTGCCATCCTGCACCTGTGGCCCAAGATGGCATAGCTGCAGATATAAGAAGGGTAATTTCAGAAAAGTTAGTTGTCCTCTACTATCGGACAAGACTACCACTAGAAAACTGGCACCAGACTATGCTAGCAGTGGTAAACAAGATACTATTTACAATCCCACCCACACCACAATCACCAAGACCAACTATTTGTACAAGGTCAGGCTGAAATAGAAGCAATGCCCACCCTGGAGACTAAGAGTGCTAGCCAAGATAAAATTGATTGACTTCACAGAGGTGGAAAGAGCAAGGATATGACCATGCCAGAAGTTCTGGAAACAGTTTAAGCAAACGCTGACGGCACTAGAAACCAGACTGCTCAGATACACTACAGAATCAGAGACTAAATGAAGAGAATAAATGCCCTGTTTACCAAAGCACCATCCAATGGGTATGCTCAGCTTCATGACAACAAAATATCCACCCAAGAACCATTCGGAGCTGAGAGTGAACAGTACTGTAAGAA